TGCTTGCCAGCCTGTAACTTCACTGACTATACATCCACACACAGGATCCCTAGGGACCAAGGTGGGCTTTTGTCAAAGGGGCTAAGGTTCCTGAGTCCCTGGGACACTAAGAGGCTGCTGGGAGTATGGACAGAGAAGCAAACTCTGCAGCCATATGGAACTGTGGGTATCAGAAGCAGGAGGGTGTGGGGACCGGGGACAGGGGACAGGCCAAGATGGAAAGAACATGTGGTGACCAGAGGTAGGAAAAGGAGCTGGTTGGTTAGAAACAGATTCCGTAAGGAAGGAACTGGCTCTTTTTAAGGAGACTCTTTGTAGATGTTAGAAGGCGCTCTTGGTCTCCAGCTGAAGTAGGGCACGGGCCTGGCAGACAGTAGGCACCCAATACATGCTTGTTACACTGAATTTCCACACCTACCTCCCATTCTTCTCGAGAAACTGCACCATGGCCTTTAGAAATGCTGTGGGTGCCCCCTGGTGGTGAAACGCAAAGCCGACGGAGCACCAGTATCTTGGACTCTAAAGGGCTTTTTCCAGAAGTCTGCCCTTCTTCCCTCCTGAGCCTTCACACTCCAAGGACACTGGGGCAGGAAGAACCAGGGAATAAGGAAGAACCCATGGGGAAGGATAGATGGAATGTCCTTGCTAGACGATTCCATGGCAGTTGGTGGTCAGCCATCAGCCTGGGTAGGGAGATCAAGGGAGTAGAGCGAGAGAACGAGCTGGTATCCTGGTGTGGAGCTGTAGGATAAGCACTGGACTGCTAACCACAAGGTCAGCGGTTCAAATCTACCAGCTAGCTACTCAATACAAGGGCGTTATGAGTCAGAACTGACTCAATGGCACTTAACAACAGAAGGTTGAACTGGCTGTAACTCTTCAAATATAAACAAGAACAGTAAAATTTGGGTTTGTAGCTATGAGTGACGATCAATAGATGGCCAATGGCTGGCCTGATATTCTGCTAGTTTCTGGACATCAGGGCACCATTTGACTCCTTCCATAGGAGGAAGGCACCTCACCAGAGGGAAACTGAAGTTTCCCAAGGGCAGAGACTGTGGTTCTCTGTCCCTGCCTCTAGTGCCCTCAGTAACCTTGGGGACAGATGCTTGCTCTGTGATATTAATGGATTAGAAGAGAAGGACAAGACAGATTTTAGGAAGCAGGGCCAATGTGGGAACTAGAAGGAGGAAGGGGGTGAAGAGGCAGGTAGGAAAGGTGAAGAGAAATGGAAGTGAAGGGCCTAGAGAGAAAGGGAAAGTCTGAGGGAAATATTGAAAGAATGCAGTCATTCAGACGACTCAGCAAATGGACTACAAGGGGACTTCAAAAAGTTCATGGAACAAAAATCCATTCTCTTTTCATTCCATCTTACCACGAACTTTTTGAAGACCCCTTGCATATATCAAGCAATGTTCTTGGGAGAAAAGCCAAGGGTGGAACAAACAAACATGAGGCCTTTTGTGGTGGAAAAGTAGCTTTGTAAACTAGACATTGTTGTTGTTGTTAAGTGTCATTGTCCAGTCGGGAAACCCATAGAAATCCTGTATAAGGTTTCCAAAGAGCAGCTGGTGAGCAGTTTGGTGTTTCAAACTGACTTTGTAGTCTAGTGCATTAACCCACAGTGCCACACCAAGACTCCAAATTAGACATGGATGGGGACAAAGTGACAACTGAGAGAGTAAGGCTGAAAGCAAAAGAGAAATTAACACTGAGACAGAACTTGCTTCCAGACCCACCATAGGAAGAGATCTGGCCCCTGGATGAAGCCAAAAGGCATACCTGGAACCTGGTGGCCCTGGTTCTTAGAAGACTGATTTTGGGAGGTAGTGTGGTGAAGGGAAGACATTCAGAAAGGGGAGGGTCAGGACAGGGAGAGGGCCAAGGAGGTACTGACTTCTCATCATTTTGTCTTGTTTTTTCCCTGAACACCCCCAGTGGAAAGATATCTTTGCCCAATGAGTGGTTTCTCAACATTTGATTGCTCGTTGGAATCATCTGAGGGGCTTCTTAAAACCGACATCCAGGTATTTCCTTGATCTGGGATTCCCAGGCTTCAGAATTTATGAATAGCTCTCCAATGAGTCAGAAGTGCAGTCAGAGAAGAGGCAGGCATTTAGAGGCTGAGTGCCTGGCTTCCTTCTTCTCTTCTGAGGAGGGAGGTGCCACCTTGGAAAAAGAAATAGATGAGAAAGTTTGAGGGGTTATGATTCCAAAGGTTCTGACAAAAGTACAAGGGAGGTTTATCTTAGAGACGATCTCTCCTTCTTCAGCCTTACCTTTAATAAGAGAGAAATAAAATAAGCTAGAAATAAAGAGGAGGAGGGAGAGGAAGAAAATAGCATCCTTTAAAACAGCAAAACCATTCAAATAACTCCAAACTGATGCGAATTCTTCACAGTGTTCACACACTGTCCCTTCCCCCAATCTTGGTTTCGCTTCAGTTGTCTTTGCCAGGATGCCTGGGGGGGGGGGGCGGGGGGAGAAGCAGCAACTGTCCCCTGTTTTTGTCCCTGAAGAGGTTTGGCAGTGGCCCAGCAGGATATTCAACTTTACCTCCCCCCACCAAAATCTCAGCCCCCTTGATATAGCTGAGTCACCGAACCTGGGTGGAGTTAGCTCGACAGTGAAGCAATGTTCACTTGAAAAATGGCCTGGGAACAGAATGTATAGACTATTTAAATAAGTCATATGTTGATAATTGTATGCAAATATTCATTCTTTAGCTCAGCATACATTTCATGCCAATCCTCCAAGTACTGGCCTCAATTGTTCCACTGTGGTTTATTTAATACCAATCCTCCAAGTACTGGCCTCAATTGTTCCACTGTGGTTTATTTACTGCCTAACAGGGAGTCAAGAGTGAAAATTGAAAATGTATAATGTGGTGCCGGCATGAGAAGTCTTTTGCATGTGCCAAGGACAGTCTAGGGCAGAACAGAGGAGGAAACAGCTATGGCTGGGTGGGAGTGGCCAAGAAATGTCTTAGAGAAGGTGCTCTTTGAGCAGAGTCTTAAAGGATGCATAGGAGTTTACAAGGAGAAAGGAAGAGTGAAACAGGAAGCGGAATAAGGTAGGAAGGGAAATAGTAGAAAGAATCCTAGGCATTTAGGAATGCTGGAATCTTTCCTGGAGGCAAATGGGGGAAATGGAAAAGAGAGATTGGAGAGAAAACACACAAGTGACCAGTGTGAAGGGCCTTATTTGCCCAGAAAGGAGTTTGGGCGTTAACGGGAAGGGCACTGGGAATCTCATGACCTATCTTTACTAGAGGAGTGATATTGTCCAAAGCCTTGTTTTTCAAAAAGTAACACTGAGAGATACAATATTAACATTGTTGTTAAGGGCCCTCCAATTGGTTTTGATTCGTAGAGAACCTGTTTAAGGTTTCCACGAAGCGGTCGAAGCGGTCGGTGGATTTGAACCACTGACCTTGTGGTTAACAGTTCAGTGTTTATCCTACAGAGCCACCAGAGCTCCCAATATTAACATCACTCAGCATTACTGTGTGCCACACACTCAGCTCTGTATATTATTTTAGCACACCAATCCTTTTAGGCATTGTTTTTCAAAATGCCTATCATGATGAACAACAACAAAAAAGAAAGACAGTAAGACAGGATATCAGAGTGGATCACAGGGGGTAAGGGTTAATATTGTTTCCAGAAGCTTTGCTTTAATTACACACTCAAACAAGTGAGTGTACTAGATCACAATGCAAAATGCTTGTCACTGTGGGTTACAGTTTGAAAAAAAGGGAGGCCACAGCTTTAAGATGTAGGTGTGGTCAGTCTCATTTTACACATGGGGAATAAGGGTCAGGGAATGTCAGTACCCAGCCTCAGGTCTCGCTGCATGTGGGATGCGGAGGTTTGAGCCCGCACTGGTTTCAAGCCAGAACGGATGCCCTCTGAAGTCAAGCAGCCTTCCAAGTTATGTGTCCACAGGAAAGAGACCTGGGGGTGAAAAAGGAACCTGCCAACTGCTTTACTCACAGTACCTCATTTAAGGAGGTAAATGGGGCAGAGACCAAGCAGTGGTTCCCAAACTTAAACGTGTAATTCAACCCACCTGAGGCGTTGTTAAAACGCAGATTCCAGATATGCGCCAGACCTACCGAATAGGTTAGAGAGGCAGCCCCTGGAAATCTGCTTTTAGAAAGTAGCCCAGGAGATTCAGATGCGCACGTTTTGGGACTGCCAGCTGGGGGAACGGGAGGGGGGGCGGGTATGGAGGAGGAAGCGATGCCGATCTAATAACTTGGTGAGGATTAATAGGGACTTGAACTAACTGATGCAATGAAAATATTCCCTTTCTAGGAAGTGACATGTAATCCTAACGCTCGCTATCGTGTTAGACCCAGTGCCTTAGTGATCAAGATCTCCCGAAGCACTTTTCTTACTCCCACGACAATGAAAAGCGAGAGACTATATAAAAGGTAGGTAGCTTTCCACTCACCAGACAAGAGGTTGAGTGGTAGAGCGCAGTGGGAGAAGAGCTAGAAGAAACCCTGCCACACCAAGGCAATTTAAGGCGCAATGTATACTCTATTTATAGGACATTCCTCGGCCTCACCCTAAGGCCTTATGATTGGCTTTAGGGTAGATCTATCACTCATCTTCTGGGTTAGAGGTGGGTGGGAGGTCAACCACCACCAATACAAAATCACTCTTCAGCTAAGCCCCGCCCCACCTAGCTTCCTGTTGCTGTCCGTCAGCCACCTAGAAGGCGGGACTATACCTCCCGTCAATTGGCTAGTGAACATGTCAGTCGCTCTTCAGTACATTTCCGGTTGGTGCTCTTTGCTGTCCATCATTGACATTTCATAAACCTATTGGTCAAACCAACGTCGCTCTAGATACCGTTCGTTGGTTGGCTATAAGTGCTGTCGGTCCCCAGTGTTCCGAACTCTTATTGGTGAACACTGCCGTCGCTCGGGTGGTGGCGGGCTCTGGGATTGGCGGGTGCTAGGCGGGCGGTGTCAGGCTCTCGGTGGCGGCGGAGGCGGCGGAGGCCAGGGAGGAAGATGTCGTAATGAGCGGTGGGTCCTGGTCGCTGCCGGCGGGGTCTTCCCGGCCGCAAAGGGCTGGGAAGACGGGCAGAGGCCGCGGGGACGGGGAGCCGGGGCCGGGGCTTTCCCCATGGGGCCGGGCCTGGCGCCGGGGCCCGGCTTCTGGAGGGGCGGGGGAGGGAGGATTCCCGCCCGGAGGAGGAGCGGGGCTGGCCAGCCGGGCGGAGGCACCCGGAAGGGGGCGTTCGACTCCCCGCCCCCTCGGAGCCCACTGGGCGGGAGGGTGACGCTTCCGGGGACTGAGGAGAAGAGCGGGCACCTGGGGAGGGCTGGTATCCCCTCTTCCTCGTCGCCTACCCACCTCAGTGCCACTCTCCATGGACAAAGCCTGGTTTTCTCCGAGGAGGTGGCCGACACCCCTTGGGCTTGCCTTGTGCCATTCCTGCCCACCGGCAGTTCAGGGGTTTCCACAGTGTAGAGAGGGACAAAGTCGGGGAATGCATGAGATTCAGACTGTGACCACCACTGCTGGGCAGAGAAGCCAAGCTAGGTACCGATATATCCCAGGCGAGGGATGGTGTCAGGGCGCCACGGCACGCACGCCGTAGGCAGATCACCCCTCGCCTTTGACTGCGGAGTGGGCAAAACTCGTGTTTTTATGTTTTATATGTAGTTTTGAGTCGCCAGCTAGAAAGCTGCAAGCTCTTAGCCAGATTGTGGGAGATGTAAGTTACTTGTTGACAGAGCTTCCAGTCTGACGTCCCAGGGGAGAGACTGCTGAATTCCCAAATCCCAGGCACAAACAAGTCTAAGGAATGATTGAAGAAATAAAACAAAATGGAGACTTACTCTTTTCCTCCACTCCACCTCCATCCCCAGTGCTGACTTAAGGTTCCTAGCCTCTTACCCAGGATTCTTGGCTTACCTTCCTGGCTGCTTTTTATTTTAGTTCAAAGGGACCTGTGTCTTCTCTGGGCAATTGAGAAACCTGCTCTCACTGCATTCCTTGGTTTGGATTCCAATATACCGTCATGTTAAATTGTTTCCTAATGAACTTCATCCCGGGAGATTTGGACTGGTATTCTTAGTGTACATTTTCCCTTCTGAGGTTACTTTGTATCCACTTAGTGTTGTTTCCCAGAGATAGATAGGGAGCGTTGAATTGGCCCCATGTGGTGCTGTAGGATAAGCACTGGACTGCTAACCACAAGGTCAGCCTTTCAAACTCTCCAGCTGCTTCTTACAGGGTCGCGATGAGTCTTACCCAGCCAGCAGCACTTACTTAGACTCCAAACCACGGGATAGTAATAATAAAAACCCATTGACTGCAATAACAAATATAATCTTGTTTTAAATTCTTGTGTGCAATGAAGGGGGTGAATTCTTCAGACAACCTATCAATTGGGCTGATGATGTCAGTGCTCCGGGGGCTTCTATTGGGTGTTGAGACTTGTTGGAAACAGTCTCATTAGCTGGGGTGATTGGTAAGTTTCCAATTCTGGTTCCTCCACTTGGTTGTAAAGGCTTAGCCTCTTAAAAAGCAATGAGAGAGAAAGAAACATATTAACTGGTCTGTCATAATTCTGAACCTCTCTGAGCTAGGCTGCCAAAAACACACTGCCTAGGAGACCCAAATAGTGCGATTTCATTAGGGTCTCCTAACCTGACCAGAGAACCAGCCTCCGCAAGGTAGACTTTAGCATCGCTGTTGATAGCACATGGACTGGCCACTTTTCTCCTCTCAGATTCTGTTTAAGTTTGGGCCTTCAGAGGCGTGTCAGAGGAGAGGAAAAGCAAACGAAGATCTGAGTATAGAACACAGAGCCTCATGGCATTCTGGGATGTGGAGTGCTTCATTTTGATATCTTGAGCTTGAACTTCTTAGTTCTAATGGTTAACAGCAGGCTCTTGGAGAAGTTGCAGAGTTCCTTGTAGAACAAAGAACAAACAAGCCTCTTACCCCATAGTAAGTGGAGTCCTGGTGTGGTACTGTAGGATAAGCACTGGACTGCTAACCACAGGTTGGTTCAAACTCACCAGCCACTCCTCAGAAATCCTGTACAGGGTCGCTATGAGTCAGAACTGACTTGATGACACACAGTAGCAACAGCAGTAATAAGTATTTAACAGTTTCCAGGCTTACTTAATTACCTTTGAGAAGACATTCAGGGATCTGTAGCCAAACAGTCCTTTTGATATCTTTGGACTAGCTTTGGTTTGGGCTCAGCAATTTTTTGTAATAGAAATGTTGTTGTTTTTATGAGCCATTGGTTCCAACTCATAGGGGTTCCAAGGACTGGCTGGTGAGTTTGAACCGCTGACCTGCAGTTCAAGCCAATCTTTCAGTCCAGTGCATTATCCTACAGTACCACACCAGGACACCGATAGATGTGTAGCATGTTATTTTTCTAGGATTTAGCTTTGCCCCATTTGTTCTCTGTATACAAATAAATTGGAAACTCTAATATATATATATATATGTGTGTGTGTATATACATATATATATATTTGGAAAAATTAGGAATTATTTTAGAAGGGGTGGGCACTGTCCACAGAATGAAAGACACAGAAATACTGCTTTAAAGGGTGTGTGGGTCATAAGACCCCCCAACGAAATGGATTGGCTAGGTGGCAGCAATGGATTTAAGCATGGCAACAATAGTGAGGTTGGCCCAGGTTCGGGCAGTGTTTCGTTCTGCTGTGCGTAGGGTTGCTATGGGTCGATACCAACTTGATGGCACATAACAACAGAATTTTAGAACGTTGAGGGGCAGAATGGGGTGAACACATCTGAGTTTCCATGAAAACTTTATGAATTGCAGAGACTTGGAGTAAAATCTATTTGGAGAAGCTCCAGTTTTTTGGATAGTCTGGGGCATCCCTTTGGGCAGCTCAACTGGATTTGTGAACTTCTTCCCAGCAATTCTGAACCAGGAACCACTTGGCTTGTAGGTTGGACCAAGCAAGTGTCAGCTGGACTGAGAAATGAACATCATTATGAAATGCACTCAGTGTTTTTGCTTTGAATATACATGCAACTCCTTCTGTGACTTCTAGACCTGTGGTAGGAGGGAGAAATGCTCTTTCTCATGATTTCTTCCCTCATAAAGCCAGCCTTTAGCTCTTTATATTTCTGACATGTAATTGGAAGGTTCTCTATGTTAAGGAACTCTTCCACCATTATTTCTGGGTAGCAGCATTCTCTGAGAAGACCCCAGGGAGGAGGAGGTCAGTGACATCTCTGTCAAGAATCCATTAGAGCAGGTTGGAAGATGAGTGACCAGTGTCACAAGCTGGCTCATTTCTAACTCAAGGTCATTGCCATCTTAAGTAGGACAAGGATTGGAGATTTCCTGGAGGAGATGCTCCCTGGTGGTACCGATGAGTTTGTTCCGATTGACAGGATTCTGCAATAGAAAAATGGACTTTCTACATGCCTCATGGGGTGATGCTGAGAAAAGAGCCCCAGAACCACCTCAGCATCAGCTTTACTCACTCAGTGGAAGCTCTAGCTTCTTCCTCTTGTGTCTAGGAAGTGTTCTGTCAGCATACTGTGAGGCTGCTACTTAGGGTGGCCTTCAGACTGGCTTGATCTTGGGAGATGAGCTGTGCTTCAGAGCAAGGAGTATGCCTGGGTTACTTGTCTGGGTGAGAGAATTTTCCGTTTACCTCCAGTGAGCAGCTTGGCCAACATAGCAGTTTGAATCTTCCTTTGGACATCTCACCCCCTTAGTTGCAGTTTGTCTCCGTTGGAATTACTCGCTGTACCTTGTCAGAAGCACCACCACCTGGCAATGCAGGGGATTGATTAGTCAGGGTGACTTTTGATGCCCAGGCCTCCAAGGTGTCAGCTCTTCCCTCTCCATCTCAGCCACCAACAGACAGTGGCCTGCACATTTTCAAATACCTCCTCCTAAGTCCCCGAGTGGCCTCGGAGAGAATGTGAATCCGAAATAAGAGCCAGTTGGGCAGGGCTGTGATTGAAAATGGAATTTTCCTGCCCTCCACCCATCAGTGTCTAATTGGAAATATTCTCAGATTAGGTTTGCAAAGTAGACCCAGATATCCCCCCAGCCCTCTTCTGCATGGTAAACCCCCATGAATGTGGGGAGTGACTTGAGAATACACTGGCTGAGGCAGAGAAAGCGGTGTGTTTACACATAATGAGACTCGGGAGGGGAGAAAGGCCTGTCGGGTTTCTTTTGCTCCTGCTCTCCAAGACAGAATTCTGAGGCCCAGTTTTCTCTGACAGCAGTCTTTTGCAACATTTCCTAAGACTACTTCTGTCAGAATGAGGAGTTCTAAGCATTCTTTGCTCTCTTTCTTAGAATCCTTTCAGTACAATGGGGTGTGACTCAGGCATCATTCAAATTGACAGATGATGATGACACCCTCATGTTTTGGGGGAGAGGAATTCTGGTGGGGAGCCTTACAAGAGGGATTCACACAGCAGCTGCCCTCATAATCTCCACTTGGGAAGGAACTTTCCCTCAGTACATATTGGAATGAAACATTGAAATGTAGTGCCTGGTTTGGTGATGAGGTGTGTGCTTTAGAGGTGACTGGTCCAGCAGTAGGGCTGGCTGGACTCTGCTGGCCCATGCAGACACCCCCACTTGTGACTGGGAGTGTTAAGAGTTCCATCTGGGATTGGGGCGCTGATGAGGACAAGACCTGGGTTCTGGCCAACAGAGCTGAGCTAGCCTGTCCAGTTGATTCAGCCTAGTGCCAGGAGATGCAGATCTGCCAATTTTCTCCTTTGGTTCTTAAACTTGCCATTTAGCCTCTACCACTATGAGACTTGTGAGTTGCTTGATTGATTGGCTGATTCATTCAACAACTATGTATTGAGCACCTGCTATATGCCAGGTCCTGGGGCTACCACAGTGAGTAAGGACTTCTTTCTAGCAGTCTCTTCCCTTAGGAAGCACACATTTTAATGGGAGACAATAAGTAATAACTCTGTATTATTTTGTTTGTGAAAAGAGCCTTGGGGAAAATAGAACAAGAGGATAGGAGGTGTGTGTGTG